TTCTTCGATGGATTCGTTGCCCCAAGGTAAAATATCCTCGATTCCCGTTTGCTCGAGAACTCGGTTCGAAGTCTTCTCCTCGACCTTGTCGGACCTGGGTGAAGCAGAATCAGTCCCCACCGATCCCAAAGCTTTACAAACATTTGTGCCAGCCCGTGCACGGGCCACCAGTCCAGAGCTACCTCCTTCTTCTTCTTCTTCTTCTTCTTCTTCTTCTTCTTCTTCTTCTTCTTCTTCTTCTTCTTCTTCATCCCTAAGACGCAGGACCGATTCCATAGTCAATGGGATTATGGTTCCCTTGGGCTTACGGACTGTCCTCTTCTTAGGCTTTAGACCCTCGGAATCCGAGGTCCTTTTTCTCTTACTTACCTTCAACGGCTTTGAAACAGGCGGTGAAACTTCTTCACCACCAGACGGGGGCCTCATGACTGTATCTTTTCCTAGACCTGCGAAGGGAAAATATAAGTAAAAGCATGCTTCGAATAAACATGTCACCTCGAATGACAAACGAATCGGTAGACCAAGATGAAATCTTGCCATGAGTACGAGCTTCCCATCGACCTTTCGACAAATCACGCCATGAGCGCTCGGCAAATGATGACGTCAAGACTAGGTTTTTGACTCAGTTCTCAAGGTGGGGAATCGCACCTGGCATCCAAGCAACAGTTGCATTGAGAAAGACACTAATAAGAAAGGATGAAAAAGTAAGACAAACAGAAATTTAAAACGGGATCATACTTACGTTTCATATTCCACTTCTCAGGAAATGGCATGCTCTCGGCCGAGATCAGATCCGAGGTCTTCACTCGAATGAACCGGCCCATCCAGCCCCGATCCTTATCTTCATCCATGCTTGACGTGAACACCTTGGCGGCACGACGTTGAAGCTTTATCAGCCTGCCTCGGTAAAGTCGAGGACTATACAATCTTATAAGGTGGTCGAGGGTAAAGGGAAGCCCATCGATTTTGCTCACAAAGAAATAGATCAAGATCACGATCCTCCAGAAAGAAGGATGAATTTGGCCGAGGGCCACCTGGTATTTCTTGCAAAAATCGATGATGACTGGATCGAGGGGACCCAGCGTGAAATGGTAAGTATAAACACTCAGATACCCTTCCACATGGGTAGTGATCGACTCCTCCCGTGTCGGTATCACAGCCTCTTTGTTTACCCAATTATAATCTTTCTTCACCACATCAAGGAAACTTACTGGTATCGAGCATATGTATCTCGATACCGGCTCGCATTGACCGGCAACCAAAGATGGTTTGTCAACTTTAAAATCATAATCAATAACACATCCCCCGGGAACGAGTTCTTCAAGGCATGGCTCCACCACGGTTTTCTCATCGGCCGACCGAGATGAGGACGTAGCCTCTTTCTGAGGAACGGTTTTAGATATATTGGCCATCTAGATTTTCAAAGAACAAAGAAGACGAGAAATTGAAATATTTTGGTGTTTGATAGAGAACAAACAAAGAACTTTTCAGAACCTGAAAATAGATAATTTTGGAGAAGACGAAGAACTGTGAAGGATAGAATGAGAATAGTTGAAACTAAAAGTTTAAAATGATAAAGGAATGGGGCTATTTATAGATTTGGCAATGACGATTCAAAATCTGTAGTGGCCGACCATCGTCTGACGCACATTTAGTGCCTTGGTAACTGAACCGACGGGACATTTGGCACATACGTCATAACCGGGCTTGATGCAGACGGTATATCTAGTCATATCGTTGAAAACTCATATCATTTCTCGCCACATTCTTTCCAAGAAACGAGGGAACTATCTGTATACGGTCAAATCCGAGTTTGTTCTTCGTGTAATTAGTCGAGATTGGTACGTTATGAATCGAGGGTCGTCATTGTAACATTGAGATAAGAAGTAAAACCAGGTTATCGAACTCAAGATTTAGGGACCGATTAATATCGAGCTATGATATGAAGTAGTGTTATCGAGCTCAAGAGCCAGAGACCGATCAATACCAAGCTCGAGTCAATATCGAGCTCGAGATCCGGAGATCGACCAATACCAAGACCGATCAAGATCGAGCTAAGAGACAAAGAGCTGTTGTAGCCGCACTAAAGGAGAAAATCTCGGCGGGAATTAAGGAAAAGATAATTAACTAATCTATTATGAGATCTCTACTATGCATTTTTATTATATCCAAGGTAGGATTTTCTACTATATTAACCGTGTGTATCATTTTTATAAGCGGTATATAAAATATCCAGAGAAGCATACATTGATACACGCTCATATTCAGAAATTATTGAGATTTACACACATATAGTAAAGATTATCCTTTTTTGGGCTTGGTATATTAGTTCATTTAGTTCATATAAATATTATTCTCCACTTAATTCCGGTTGGTATTTAGTGCCTTGGTAACTGAACCGACGGGACATTTGGCACATATGTCATAACCGGGCTTGATGCAGACGGTATATCTAGTCATATCGTTGAAAACTCATATCATTTCTCGCCACATTCTTTCCAAGAAACGAGGGAACTATCTGTATACGGTCAAATCCGAGTTTGTTCTTCGTGTAATTAGTCGAGATTGGTACGTTATGAATCGAGGGTCGTCATTGTAACATTGAGATAAGAAGTAAAACCAGGTTATCGAACTCAAGATTTAGGGACCGATTAATATCGAGCTCGAGTCAATATCGAGCTATGATATGAAGTAGTGTTATCGAGCTCAAGAGCCAGAGACCGATCAATACCAAGCTCGAGTCAATATCGAGCTCGAGATCCGGAGATCGACCAATACCAAGACCGATCAAGATCGAGCTAAGAGACAAAGAGCTGTTGTAGCCGCACTAAAGGAGAAAATCTCGGCGGGAATTAAGGAAAAGATAATTAACTAATCTATTATGAGATCTCTACTATGCATTTTTATTATATCCAAGGTAGGATTTTCTACTATATTAACCGTGTGTATCATTTTTATAAGCGGTATATAAAATATCCAGAGAAGCATACATTGATACACGCTCATATTCAGAAATTATTGAGATTTACACACATATAGTAAAGATTATCCTTTTTTGGGCTTGGTATATTAGTTCATCTTGTTCATATAAATATTATTCTCCACTTAATTCCGGTTGGTATTAATTCCTTTATACAATCAGTATTCGATATATTTCTACTTACTTTTCCAATTTATACCAAGTTATACCACGTGTCCTTAGAACTACGTATAAATTCAACTCTATCTATTTTTCGGGTAAACAATGCTTTTCTTTCGTTTTTCTTTAACAATTAGTGGTGTTTTTTAATCAATTTTCAATATCAAACCAAGACCAAGTTATTTATCAATTTAGCCAGAAACAAGTCATCTATGCCAGCCAATTAATGCTAAGGTTTTTTTATACTCTGCAAGTAACCAATACTTCATGATCCATTTAATTAAAAAAATCGAAGACTGTTTAAACTTTTTTTTAAAGAGAAAGAGAAAGAAAAGAAAGCGAATAGGAGAATGGAGGAAAACAAATGAGTCCATAAAACATACTCCTATATAGGTTTAACAAAAAACAGCTACAACTGCTTAGAGCTGACCTTAAAATAAGGAAATTCCCAGTTTCCCACATTCCCAAGCAAAGAAAAATATTGAAAATCTTAAAAAGAAAATTCAAATCCTACAAAGACGACTATATTAAGTTGATAATTGAAAAATTGCAGTTCAGATTAGTTTTATTATCACGAATTCATACTAGTTTGGGATGGAATGATAAATACCTTTTATTTTTAATTAAAATGAGGCTTTCGGCACTTAATGGAGGTCTGAATATTAATCATTCAGATCTCATATATTAAGTCGATTGTTTTTAAAGTCCGAATCTTAATCATTCAAAATCATAAGTGTGTTTGTTTTTTTGATTCACAACCACTTAATGAGTTTGAATATACCTGTATGATTAAGATCTATAACAAAGACTTAATTTTCATTAGGATGTTATCATCCACATTCATTACTAACTGTCACCACCGCCACCGCCACCACCTACCATTACCATAGTCGCCACCACTACCACCACCCATCACCTCCACCACCATCATCCTCAACCATAATCACACTTACCCACCTAAACTACCACCACCAACCACCCCATCACCATCAATAACCATAACCGGCACCGCCCACCATTATAAAGTACCGCCATCCACCATCACCTTTTTAATCACAACCACAACTACCACCACCACCCACCATTATTAACTATCACCACCCACCACCACCATCCTCAGGCCTCCACCATAATCACTATCGCTACCAATCACCACTAACTACTACCCAGAACCACCATTATCAACCAAAATCACAACCAATCACCGCCTCTAGTCGGTACTCACAAACACCTCTGTTAGCCATCACCACCACCAACTATATATATATATATCAAATGTAGATTTAAATAAAATATTAATTAATCTAATATATATATATATATATATATATTAGATTATTAAATAAAGATAAATTCTGTATTTAGATGTTTAAAAAACAAATATTCTTAAGCATTCAGTATTCAGATCTTAAAACACATATTAATCTTCAGATATGTATTCAGATTTAGAAGTGTTAATCTTAATAATTAATTAATATTTTATTTAAATTTAAATTTATTAAATTTTAAATAAAGATAAATTTTGTATTTAGATGTTTAAAAAATAAACAGTTTTAAACATTTAGTATTCAGATCTTAAAACACATAGTAATATTCAGATATGTATTCAGATTTAGAAGTGTTAATCTTAATACAAATCTTAATATTCAAAAGTCTTAATCTAAACAAAACAAATCGAGTCCCAGCTCCCAAGTGGGTATGGAAAAGAAAAAGATTATGTGAAATGGTACCTTGTGTATATACGTTTGTACTCGACTCTTTAAATTTTCCCTTTTCGTATATTTTGTCAAATTGCTTACTTTATTTTTTATATTATTATTATTATTATTATTATTATTATACAAAACTACAACTCTATTCTCTCTCTCTCTCTCTTTTCTCGTTTTGTTGCTTCAACAGCCGCACTGTCCTCCTTCGTTCTTCGTTCTTCTTCTTCTTCTACAAAATCACCACCATCTTCTTCTAGGTTTTTTTCTAGGGTTTTCCAGAAGCTTCTCGAAGCTGGATTCTCCTTTCTTCCTTGTTCCCTTCTCTCTCCGTCGCTTCTTAACCGGTTCGATTAATCCCCAAAATACCCTCATTTTTCTTGCGAATTATCATTTACCGGATAGAAACGGTAACTTTATACTTTCTGGTTATCTGAATCGATCTGTGTTATGAGTTTTACTCCTAAATCTGTTCGATTAGGGCAAGGTTAGGGCAAAATTTAATGATTTAAAGGTTTTTGATTGTTGATAGTGTGATTTTGAATGGCATTGGGGGATTTAATGGCGTCGAGGTTATCACAATCATCAGCAGCTTTGGATGAATTTGGCAATCATCATGAGGATGAAGCAGAAAGGAGTAGTAACAATGTTAGGGATTTGGATACTACTGCTACTGCTAGTAGTAGTAGCAGCTATGTTGTTGTTGGTGGGGGGGGGAGTTGTGGGTGGTGATAATAATGCGATGACGACGACAACGAGTATGGCTTATTTGCCGCAGACTATTGTGTTGTGTGAGCTTAGGCATGATGGTTTTGAGGATTGTGTTCCTTCTGGTCCTTCTGATACCGGTTTGGTCTCTAAATGGCGGCCTAGGGACCGTGTAAGTTGTGCCTCTTTTCATTTTTTAATCTCAATGTAGCATGAATAGAGTGGAGCATTTATATTGTTGAATTAATGCGCAGTTGATTGATTGTTTGGTTAATGTAACAAGGAGTGTACATAAGGTGGTTAGTGTTGCAGTAAAGCATCATACTTGTTTGCTGTTCCTTGATTTGTTAGCTGGTTTTCTTCTGAAAGTTGAATGCTACTATGCAATTGTAAGATGATAAGATGTGCTTGCTTTGTTTCTCTAGAGTGAACCTTATGCTACAACATAGCCTTATAATTCAAAAAAATTGGAAAAACGTCGATGTCATTTTAAATTGGGTGCCCTGAGATTTAATCTAATAATAAAAGAAGTTTGTTTCTAACAGCCAGTTGGAGATGGAGGTTCGAACGAGAGATTCCAGCTTTTGCAGTTAGTGATTTTGGCATGACTACTCTGTGATCTGCAAGCAATTGCCGGATATTAGATTTAATTTAATGTTTCGTGGTTGACGGTGAAGATTAGTACTGGGTGGGAGCATGAGTGATCATCTGTCATCATTGCAGGAGTATCTACCTTTGTGTATCCAAGTAAAACTGAAGCTTGTTTTCATCTTGGATGTTAAGTTGGGGAGCTAGACATGAGTTTCCATAAAACTAGTTACTGATTGTGCCCTTTTTTTTGATGCCTTTGGCATGAACTAATGTGGAAAATTACTTTTTTCTTACCTCAATTTAGAGCACTTGGAACATGTGGATAGTGTCTCCCAAAATTGCAGGAACATCAGAATCAAGAATCAAGGTCGTTCTGACTAAGACATTAAACATATAATTCCTTAAAGATTAGGAGGATTGTTATGAGACTAAATTCTTATGTCGGTCTGTTAAAAATTGTCCTCGCTTCCGGTTGAAATGTCATGTTTTGACTTCTAACATAGTAGGATAACAAAGAGTCAATGAGGCTAGAATACTAAGTGGGTAAACTTATTGGGTTATTATGTGCTTTTTATTTTTCGTGAGTCTCACATTGGTTGAGGAATGAGTTGTGGTCTTCTTATCTGGGCTTGGGTAATCCTCCCCTCATGAGCTAGCTTTTGAGGTTTAGTTAGGGCCAAGGTCTATTTCTTTCACACGGTATGAGAGCTAGACACATCGCTCTCTGTTGTTGTGTTTCTCAATGTTAGGCCCCCATCTCACGTGATCCAAGCTTCATTCCAATCCTAGGTGTGTGGAAAGGTGTTATGTCCCAGAAAGGAATGAGTTGTGGTCTCCTTATATAGGGCAATCTTCCCCTCACGAGCTAGCTTTTGCACAGTTATCACAATTTTTAAGCTTTAGAACATTAGACTTCAAGAGGCTTATTAATTGCTGATTACCACTCTACCAGCCTCCTTCCCAAGAGTGATTCCCCTTGTGGGTAATCATTTGGACTTGATGTGTCAATGAAGGCACTTGTTGATTTAATGGGAGGGATTTAGTGGGAAGTTCTTCTGGAAAGACTGAAAGTAGAGCGTGTATAATTTGTTTAGAGTACAGTATGTGGTAGAACACTACTTTCTTGCTATATAAATAGTCTTTTGAGGGATTAATAAAGAAATGCTATCCTTCAATTTGGGACAAAATGGATCATGGATTTTACTGGAAATAGCCCGAAAGAAAACAACACAAGGAAAAGCTCATTGGACTTAATATATTTAATATCATAAGCAAATATTGGATGTAAGCACCCAAGGCTGTCGCTTAGCGTGAAGTGAGTGAAAATCATGGAAAAACACGGTTCGAATCCAAGCAGAGACAAAAAAAACCGAGTGATTTCTTTCTATATGTCTAAGCCTTGATTGACAGAGTTACTTGTCATCTGTTGATGGTAGGTAGCAGGTACCTAGTAATATCGTTTAAGTGTATGCAAGCTTGCTGGGACAGTAACATTATCATGTGTTATTAAAAGCTAATCACTTCGTCGCGTAAAAGCAATGAAGCAACGTCACGTGAGGGGTTATCGCTTCATAGGTGAAGCTATCGCTTCAGAGAAATGTGCGCTTCAAACAAGGATCGGCAAAGTGATCCATCAAATGAAAAGGGGTCGGTTCTTTGAATATCAACTCTGCAATTGTGCCCTTTACTTTAAGGGAGTGTACGCTTCACTTCTTGCTTTCGCTTCAAGCTCCTAGGGCTAGGATCTTATCGCTTCTTTTGCGCTTTTCGCTTTTAAAAACATCAACATCATAAAAAAAAAAGCAAGTGTTAAATTGCTATATTGAGTGACACAGATAGCGAGGATTCATATAGCCGAAACAAACTAACTCGGGATTGAGGCGTAATTGTGGTAATAGTTGTTTTGAGAAGAACAACTACTAGTATGACTCCTCAATAGTATTATTAGTAGTTGTATCATAAGCAAAAATTGCTGTCGAAGTCCTCACACAATTGACTTTGTGAGGTCCTTTTTAAGTGTTAATCTAGATTTTTAAAATGCAATGAACTATAGTTTGAAGATGTAATTATTCAGTTATGCCCCTCCCATAACCAAATTAAAATGACTTTGTGAAGTCCTTTTTTAGTGTTAATCTAGATATTTAAGATGCAATGAACTGTAGTTTGAAGATGTAATTATCCCTTTATGCTCCTTCAATAACTAAAATAAAATGCATTATCAAAAGAAAATAACTACAATAAAATGCATAATAGCATAGAGATAATACAAGCACTAGGATGAAATCTATAAATTTTGGGTATACTTGAGTTTACAATAAAAGGTGCCATAACCTACATTCTGAACTAACATTGCCTTTTCTTAAACAACTAAAACATTTCATTAATTGTTTGGATAAAGAAAAGTGAGTACGGTAAATAAATACCATGTTGGCATAAAAAATATGTACATATGAGTATAGGACTGCACTACAGTCATCCACAATATTCTTTAATTTTTGAAAGGTATTACCTCTCCTCGAATCTGAATAGAGATTAGCTACACTAGAAGCGGAGGCTATTACGGACCAAATTTCATTTTTTAAAAATGTTTAGAATATGTATCTTTAGACTATGTCCAGGCACTATGATGAAGTGTGTTCCCTTCAATAATCTTTTCTGAATGGTGTACCATGGTGCTCTAGCGTTATTGGTATCCATATGAGATTGTTTTCTTCTTTGCAGAAAGAGACAGCTTAGTGCTGGCAGATTGAAACAGCAGCTTTGCAAAAAAGTCCGAAAATGAGTTTGGATTCATCAATTGCTTTTTTTCCACTTGTTGCTTGTTACTTAATCTTTAAAGTATTCCTTGACAAATGTAATGCTTGATGACCAACGTGCTTCAACTGTATTTTACAAGCTCACTAATATAACTTGCATTTGGAACTTACCCTCCACGCAGTAAACACACCCAATGTTTTACCTTGTTGTCCATCTTAGCATGCAAAATTTTCTGCAGATGAAGACGGGATGTGTTGCCCTTGTTTTGTGTTTAAACATCAGCGTTGATCCACCTGATGTAATAAAGATATCTCCTTGTGCTCGAATGGAGTGTTGGGTTGGTATGTTTCTTCTCTTTCTTCTTCTTCTTCTTCTTCTTCTTCTTCTTCTTCTGCTGCTGCTGCTGCTGCTGCTGCTTGTAATATAACCAGCTACTGTTCTTTTTGCTAGTATTTTGTTTTAATGAATATACTTTATTTCATTCTATTTACATTTTGTAATTTTCAGCAATACCTTTTATATTCTGAAGGATGATTGTCCATGATGATTGACCATAATATCCCCTTTTCCCCTAAGAAAAATAATCTCAGTGATAAATTTGTTTTAAAGTGAGACCATGCTCTTCTAAAGGATTATAGCTTTTCAATCTTCTTACTTGCATTGTGATAGAGATATTTGCTGAAAGGACTTAGACTATAGATACAACTTCTCAAGAATTAGCTATTGGTAAAGTGTACAAAGGCGACTTGAATTTGATATGTTCCAGGAGGATTTGTTAGGAAAGCAACCTGGACTTTCAGGATAGACTTCTCATGAGGCCAAGGAAGTTTCATTCCTCAAAGTTTCCTTTTGTTCCTTGATAACAAACCGTATTAAACTTCATGGTACTATGGTAGGATCTCCACTCTCGTAGAAACTTTAAATTCATAAGGGCAATATTTAACTCATCTAGAACCTCAGTTAAAGCACTCCTTATCCAAAAAAAAAAAAGAACCTCAGTTAAACTTCTTTAAAATCTGGCTAATTCTATTAATACCAAAGAGGGGGAGGGAGTCTGCATAAAGGATGTGACATGCCATCAAGAATGTCTGCTTTTCCAGTAGAGACTGGTCACATTCTGCGACCTTTTCTGTCAGCAATAGTAGAATATGTCATGGATGCTACCAATTTATAGATCCTTCTGAAACCTCATCTTTCTTTGATATTTATCCATGCTTTAGAACTGTTTTGTGACATTTGGCTTTGAAAGATAAGCAGAAACCTCCCGTGTTGGTGGGAGGTAGCAGGTACCCGTGGAATTAGTCGAGGTGCTTGTAAGCTGGCCCGGACACCACAGTTATTAAAAAAAAATACACCACCATAATTTCAGATGAAGATGTCGTATCAGTGATTCAGAGAAGTACCATTTTGATAAGTAAGATCCATAGGAACAGTCCCTCAAGAAGCTCCACTTACATTGGGAAATTTCAAAACTACCTAATCTAGGCTTGTCCTAGCAAGGTTTTGCTTCCCCTGGCTGACATAATTCAACGTTAGTCTATCTTAAAATGTGCTTTATCCCTATGACATACTTTGATCGAGTAGATTTCGGGCATTGTTAGCATTCAGAGTCGAACAGAGATGAAGACCTCGAGCTGAGTCGCTGGTCGATTTCGCTCGGAGTAAAAGGTAAGGAAGAAAGAGAACAGAGTACCTGGATTTTCGTTCCTAGTCTTGTAACTTTCTGCCTTTTCCTTTGTTTTCCTACATCTTCTGCTTTAGTTTGTCTTCCTCGTCTTCTCAATGTGTCTCCGTCCTTCTGTCTTCTTCGCTTTGTTCAAAGCATTTGCGGACTTTAACTGGATCCAGTAAGAATCTCTTATTGGCATCAGCTTCATGTCTCATGGTAGGGGTAAATGAAGGATCTGTTTTTGGTAAGTAAGTGAAGCAGCCATTAATGCTTGCTTAATGGCTAGGTTGTTTACATCACACCCCTAGGGGTGCGGCCCAGGCTGCCCTTTTTTTCCAGAACTACAAATTAAATAAAAATAATTGATGTCGGTTCTTCTTGGCGGAGTCTGTTTTACTTGAAGGAATGTGGATGTTTTTATCTCGGCAAAATTTCATTGTGCAGGTATCATATTCTCTGAGGGGTTATAAGATATAATTTGATAACTAGGCTGTCTTTTTTGGCTTTCCAGCTTAATTTTCAAAGGTTAGTGCTTGAAATTCTTCAATGGACTAGTAATTACTAATGATATTTATTACTGCTTATTTTACAGATCCATTTTCGATGGCACCTCAAAAAGCACTTGAAACAATTGGGAGAACTTTGAACCAACAATACGAGAGGTGGCAACCTCGGGTAAGAAAATGTTTTTGCCATCGATTTGCTGGTGAATGAGTAGTTATAATGACAAAACATTGTATGTAACCATATGCAGGCTAAGTATAAGATTTCCTTGGATCCTACTGTGGACGAAGTCAAGAAACTTTGCACAACTTGTCGAAAGTATGCCAAGTCAGAACGAGTTCTTTTCCATTATAACGGACATGGTGTACCTAAACCTACAGCCAATGGTGAAATTTGGCTATTTAATAAGGTTTACTTTCTTACCCAGATTGCTTTCTCAGGGCTGTGGGTGATATTTGTCTTTTCTTATTTGGGTGTTTGTTTTAGAGTTATACGCAGTATATCCCTTTGCCAATCAGCGACCTGGATTCCTGGTTGAAGACACCATCGATCTATGTGTTTGACTGCTCTGCTGCTGGGATGATTGTTAATGCCTTCATAGAGGTTTACTCTTAATTGCCAGTTTACGTCATGTATTTTGTGTCTTCATAGAAAAAGAAAAATTGTACTATATTCATGATGTGGTGCTGATCTATCCGTTCCTACTGGCCCTCTAATTAGTTTCAATGCAATTTGTTTGATCAGCTTCAGGACTGGACTGCTTCTGGTTCTTCTGGAACTTCTGCAAGGGATTGTATTCTGCTTGCTGCTTGTGAAGCACATGAGACGCTTCCTCAGAGTGCTGAGTTTCCAGCCGATGTATTTACTTCCTGCCTCACCACACCCATCAAAATGGCATTGAGATGGTGACATGCTCTCAACAATTGTTTATGATTTCTTCTTTTTCCTCTTTCTGCCCCTCTCTCCTACACTTGTCCAATTGTTTATGTAATTCTTGGGTGATGGAAAATTAGTATAGTTTCACTTTTCATTTTAACATTGTGATGTTACATAGTTCCTCTCTTTCCCTCTCCCTCTCCCTCTCACTTCTTTTCTCCCTTTTTGAATTTTTTTTATAGGTTCGCCTACATGTTCACAGTTAGTGATAGCCTCTGTAGCAACGAAGAAAAAAAGAAAAAGAAAAGAAAATAATAACACGAAAATAACGGTTTATCTCTTGGGCCAATCTGTTTAATAGGTAATAGATAATGCCATCTTAGTGCATTTTCATAATGTTAGTGTTTTAAGTAACTTGTTTTAAGTAAATGCTTAACTATCTTTTACTTGCTCGTGTGTTTGTGTTGTTAGGTCCTTAAACCTAATGTGCTACTTCTCTCTTTTTACATTGATGCATTTGCTTCTGCTAAATAAGTCAATTACTTTTTCCTCGCATTTGTTATAGTGTGATAGCTACATCTTTTTTCTTGCAAAAATTGCTAGCCATTTAAATCCCACTATCTTGTGTGTTTGGCTTCTAGGTTTTGCACCCGTTCATTGCTCCGAGAGTCGCTTGATTACTCTCTGATTGATAGAATTCCTGGCCGGCAAACTGATCGGAAGACACTTCTAGGCGAACTGAATTGGATTTTTACTGCAGTTACTGACACAATTGCCTGGAATGTTCTGCCGCATGGTAATGGAATAGATTATTTAGATTGATGCAGATATCATGGTTTAAGCATGTTAATCTCTTTCTGAAGTATGAGTTCTAAACATGCAGAGCTGTTTCAGAGATTGTTCAGGCAAGATCTATTAGTTGCTAGTTTGTTCAGAAACTTTTTGCTTGCTGAAAGAATCATGCGCTCGGCAAATTGTTCACCAGTTTCATACCCAATGCTACCACCTACTCATCAGCACCATATGTGGTAACTACATTATATATTTACTCATTGCTAAAATTCATATTTACCCTTCTCTCACTTGTGGTCTACATGTATGATAGGGATGCATGGGACATGGCAGCAGAAATCTGTCTTTCACAGCTTCCAACTTTAGTTGAGGATCCCAATGCAGAATTTCAGGTGGGCGTATTGCTTTACCATCTGTTTGATATGTATATTCATAGTTCCAACTTCCACAAGAATATTATATATAGGGCTTACATATTGCCTGTGTTTGTATGTCTTCAGCCAAGTCCATTTTTCACGGAGCAGTTGACAGCTTTTGAAGTATGGCTTGACCATGGATCAAAGGATAAAAAGCCTCCCGAGCAGTTGCCCATAGTGCTACAGGTAGGAAATTTCTCATGGTCCAAATCAAATGAGGAACTCTCCTTGGTTCTTCTTTCAATCTTGTGGTGACTTTAAGTATATTTTCTGGGATGTAGGTTCCATCCGTCCCACATCTTCTGTCAACTCCTATGTCTTTAATAATTTGATGAAAAGGTGGGATAAAAATATTGGATACTCCATGCTGTAGCCAAATTCATAAACCATTTGGATCAATAGCTTTTGTTGTTCCCTATTTATCAAAAAATTCAAAAAATTGTTTTTCTTTTTTATTGACTTGATAAAACGTTGGCTGCTGTCTCTTCCGTCTTTGATAGAAAATATCAAAGAATGCTTTGGCATGATGCTGAGGAATGCTTGAACCATCTCCCTGTGTTACGTTGAGATGTGGGAATGATTTAATTTTTTCCTGTTGTCATTTCTAAGGCGACCCAATGCTGGTTTAATATTCTTGGCACAACATGTGTTTTTCATTTCTTTCATAGGCTTCTTTTTATGTGAATATTTGAACTTTCTTCCCATGTCTCCTGAAAAGCGGAAGTAATCTATCCATATCCAGTAGATTAGTGCACTTTTTTTTAATGATTGTGGTGAATCTTACTTTGTATCTACTATGAAATCAACCTGATGCAAGTTGCTAAAGTTTTGGGTTAGCAGCAAAGCTTTTTGTAGTGTCATTGTTGAGGTTAAAGAAATGCATCATGTCTTTCGGAGCAGGTATTTCTGTTGGTGTTATTTTCTGGTTGAGCAGAGCCTTTTCATTTGAATTATGAAATAGGTGTTGATTAACTTAATGTTTGTCCCTGTGACACTAAAGATATGTACAGACACACGATAACTATAGTTCCTCAAATATGAGCTGCTAGTGGTCTTTGCCATTTTGGCTGGTTATATTAGGCTTTCTTTACATTCAGTGGTTTTGCTAGCTTCGTGCATTTTTCCTCTTGCATGCCTCTGTAACCAATCTGCTTTGTTATTAGGTGTTACTTAGTCAATGCCACAGGTTCCGTGCACTTGTACTTCTTGGAAGATTTCTCGATATGGGACCTTGGGCTGTAGATCTGGTAAGGTGGCTGCGTGTTTCCTCTTTCTGTAATTGGTTGTGGCATCTACTTTGCGACTAATATTTCAGTCAACAATTTGCTTCTTTCCAGGCCTTGTCTGTAGGAATATTTCCTTATGTTCTCAAGCTTTTGCAAACCACCACTCCTGAACTTAGACAAATTCTGGTCTTCATCTGGACGAAGATCCTTGCACTAGATAAGGTACATGATTTGGTTGTAACTCATCACTTGTGTTGTCTAATAATTCATTTCCTACGTATTCTATCTTTGTGTTTATTTTTTCTTATATGAAGTTCTCCTTCTCTTTCTTTTTTGTTGTTGTTATTATTATCTAAGAAGCTCACAACCAAAATTTGGCTTTACAAACAAACACCTGCTGGACAGTGGGCTCCATCCATGTCTTATTATTATTATTTTTTTTATGGTGCGACACTTTGCCATGTTTTTGGAGGCCAATAGGACATGAGTTTGTAACTTTTTGTGTTATTTAAACTGTTAAAGCGCTTTCTTTGGTGTACAAAGCAGAATTTTGAAAGAACGGAGTGATGCTTTCTGTGATGAAAATAGACCTAAAATCTCCAGCCTCTTTCATTGAACTAAGCTCTAATTGGAGAGCAAGAGGTGGAGATCTTACTGCTGATTTCCGATAGTTTTGTGTGCTACTTTTTTTCAATATTTCAAACTACTTAGTGGGCGTTTGGACATAAGAATTGTAAAATTTCAAAATAGGGGGAAAAAAATTTTCAAGTGAAAATGGTATTTGAAATTTAGAGTTGTGTTTGGACATGAATATAATTTTGGGTTGTTTTTGAAGTTTTGTGAGTGATTTGAGTGAAGATTTTGAAAAACAGCTTTTTGGAGTTTTTCAAATTTTCGAAAATTTTCAAAATGCATCTTCAAGTGAAAATTGAAAATTTTATGAACAAATGCTGATTTCGAAAAAAAGTGAATTTTTTTTGGAAAAAAGGGAAAAACTTCTTATGTCCAAACGGGCTCTTAGAATAGGTTATATTCTTTATTCTAATTTTACTCAAATTTAGCTACTCTAATTTTGGAGTCTGTTACACCTCTGGAGTATTCTTTTCTGTTTTTTGTAAGTTATGATATCATAAGCTCTTCAGCAAGTAAAAGTGGTTTCTTTTGTCATGCTACCTTACTCTAACCCGTTTGGATTGGCTTAAAAAAAGTGGCTTTTAAGTTAAGTGCTTAAAAGCACTTTATAAGTGTTGGAACTTATTTTATAAATAAGCAGTTACGTATTTGGATAAAAGTGCTGAAACTTAAAACAAGCTGAAGAAGTGTTTGGTAAACAAGTGCTGGTAAGCACTTTTTCTTGTTAAAATGACTGAAATATCCTTAAAGTTGTTAACATTATAAAGAAGATGATGACTATATTATTATATTTTCCGTTCATAGCTTCAAATTCAGGGGTAACACGTAAATTCATTGAATGATTTGATTTTAGAATATAGTTACACCAATTAAAATAAAAGGAAGGATTCAACGACCAAAAAAAATTAAATGTTATGGAACCAAAAAAAAAGAAGCCAAAAGAACAATATTTACAAAATATTGGAATGTATCAAACATTATTTAAAAAACTATTGTTTGCTTCACGTTAAGAACTTCAAGAAATTGGCAAATATTGGAGAATGGAGGAAAAAAAATAGTATGTTGTAGGGTTTTTACTTGGGGGTAATTTCGGGATTAAGAAAAATTATAAGGGATAAGAATGTAATATCTTTGGTCAAAGCAATATGGCTTTTAAGCCAATTTAGAAAAAGTTGGGTTTTCCAACTTATTGGTTTTGGCTTTTTAAAGCAGATTTTAACTTTTTTTAAGCCCATTTTTTGGTTGCCAAACACTTCTAAAAGTTAAAAACGCTGGTTTGACCAGCTTTTAAGCCCATCCAAACAGGCTCTAAATTTTCTCTCTCTGTCTTCAGCTAGTAAAAGTGGTTTCTTTTGTCATGCTACCTTACTAAATTTTCTGTCTTAGGTTGTTACCTGTATATATCCTGTATTAGTTATTTGTTCTGATCTTCTAATTCTGTACTAATTAGATTATTGTTTTCCTTTGAGTCAACAGTCTTGCCAGGTTGACCTTGTAAAGGATGGAGGACATGCATATTTCATTAGATTTCTTGACAGTGTGGAGGCTTATCCAGAGCAAAGGGCAATGGCTGCATTTGTTTTGGCAGTCATTGTGGATGGTCACAGACGGGGTCAGGAGGCCTGTACTGAAGCGGATCTTATACATGTCTGCTTGAAGCATCTTCAGGGGTCGACCCCTAATGATGCACAAACTGAACCACTTTTTCTTCAATGGCTGTGCCTTTGTCTGGGAAAACTTTGGGAGGATTTCGCAGAGGCACAAGTACTGGGCTTGCAGGCAGATGCACCAGCAATATTTGCTCCTCTGCTGTCTGAGCCCCAACCTGAGGTTTGTTGTTTAATTTTCTGTTGAGGGGATGCAAGTGGGTCCTCAATTAAATATTTGGATTTTGACTAGTAGTTTAAAATTTATTATTTCAGGTCCGTGCTGCAGCTATTTTTGCTCTAGGAACTTTACTTAATGTTGGATTTGACTCAGCTAGGGATGGTGTTGGAGGGGATGAAGACTGTGATGATGAGGAGAAGGTTAGGGCTGAAGTCAGTATAATAAAGAGCCTTCTAAGTGTTGCTTCTGACGGAAGCCCTTTGGTTCGAGCAGAGGTTGCTGTAGGTATGCTGTTGCTGAATGTTCTACCTGAAAACTGTTCATTTTGATACACTTACCGTGTTTCCACCTTCATTTCCCAATATTTGGTCTTTATTTGCTAGAAGGAAAAATATTTTTGGTTGCAGTATTATTTGGAAAGATTTGCCTATAGAGACCTGCCTTTACAGTTCTGTATGATGAGGTGCCTTATGCATGATATCAGTCCCAATTATGAATTTTGTTTATCTTTCACTTTGATGGTGGAACCCGATGCCAAAAATATCATTCTTTATCATCATGTCACTTCTTTGTTCATCTCTAATTTGCTTTAAAATAGGAGAAAGGAAAAGAAAAAAAGTGATATCCATGTCGGAAACTTTTCTCTGGGGGTTCAATTGTATTCTTAGCAATGCAAGTAGTTCAGCGTGAAAGTTGCTTCATCATGCTTGATGAGTTCTGATTCTTTGATGCGAAATGCGAGTATCAGCTGCCTTACAATCATGCCTAGTTCTCTGATTTCCCCTCATTAGTCCTTTCTTGATTTTGTGTACACACCCTATAATATTGGTAGGAGTTGGGTTCATGTTCTTGTCATCTTTGCAGCTTTGGCACGTTTTGCCTTTGGGCATAACAAGCACCTGAAGTCAGTCGCCGCTGCATATTGGAAGCCTCAGTCTAATTCCTTGCTAACTTCCTTGCCTTCTTTCGTGGTCAAGAGTTCAGGTAGTGGGTATACAACCCCAACTCACTGTATTCCACATGGAAGTAGAGTTCCGTCTCCTATTCCTCCTTTACTGAGGGTGGGGGGTGACAGTCAGTCCATATCTCGCGATGGGAGAGTCTCGACTAGCAGCCCCCTTGCAACACCCGGCATCATACATGGATCCCCTTTATCTGATGATTCCTCTCAACATTCTGATTCCGGAATCTTGAATGATGCTGTTACCAATGGTGTTGTAAATCATACAAGACCAAGGCCTCTAGACAATGCACTCTATTCTCAGTGTGTACTGGCTATGTGTGCCTTGGCAAAGGATCCGTCACCACGTATTGCAGGTCTTGGCCGGAGAGTCCTTTCCATTATTGGGATTGAACAGGTTGTTGCCAAATCAGTTAAGTCAACCGGTGAATCGACAATAGCTCCAAACACCGGTTATGCTGGATTGGCTCGATCTTCATCTTGGTTTGACATGAATGGAGGTAATTTTAGGGTTTTCTTGGAAATTATTGTCCATTTTTTTATTGGATGAATGTGATTATGTTCCATATTATTAAAGTTTTATCTGCACCCAGGACCACTAATATATCATCTATTTAACACCTCACTTCATTTAATAAACTTTTCTAATAATTCTTTTTGAAGTGACTCTGGCCTCATTTAATACCCTTTTTCCTAATATGCTGTTGTTGCAGGGCATTTACCTCTGACTTTTAGAACTCCTCCTGTTAGTCCCCCGCGGCCCAGTTACCTAACAGGAATGCGAAGAGTTTGTTCTTTGGAGTTCAGGCCCCACCTAATGCACTGTCAAGACTCAGGATTAGCTGACCCATTGTTGGGGTCTGCTGGATCTTCTGGAGCTTCAGAACACAGTTTTCTTCCCCAATCAACCATCTACAACTGGAGTTGTGGCCATTTCTCAAAGCCACTTCTTACTGCAGCTGATGATAGTGAAGAGATGATTGCTAGAAGGGAAGATAAGGAAAAGTTGGCCATTGACCTCATTGCAAAATGCCAACACTCTTGTGAGTGTACTTCGGTTCACGTGTCTTTCCCTTTTGTATCCATCCCTTCTTTCGCTTGAGTTTGTCATAATTGTTATCATGTAATCCTTATCCAATTTTTTTGATATAGAATGAAGTCTAAATTTTAATATGAGCAATGCTTTTTCTGTCTCAGCAGTAAGCAAACTACACAATCAAATCGCTAGTTGGGATACTAAGTTTGAGACCGGCACCAAAACTGCTTTGCTGCAGCCCTTCTCACCTATCGTTATTGCAGCAGATGAGAGTGAAAGAATCAGGTAGAAGAATCTTATCGAATTACTTTTTCAATATGAAAACGAAAAAAATGAAAAATGAAAAGGTGAAAAGCCATTATTGCTGTAATATCTTGTTTACTATGTTCTTGAAAATACTGGAAGGTATAGGTTGGTTCAGGTGCTATCTTAGTTGGAGCTGCACAATCTGCAATTTCAACCTAGTCTGTCAGTAAACAGTCAATATCAAGTGGAACTCCTGAATGCAAGTAAATTTGTAAAAGAACACAAGACCTACTGGAAGCAGACCCCCCCCCCCAAAAAAAAAAAAAAAAAAAGGAAAAAGAAAAAAAGAGCGCGTTCGCATTGAAATGTTTCCAATTTCTCTTAAAGTTGGTTTTGAGTTAGGTTTTCTTGTTCAGTTTTAGCAAATTAACAGATCAAAGGGTAGTTAATGACGCTTCAATCTGTTCCGTCAGAGGCATTCGGGTTATGAATTTAATAATGCGGTTAACATAAAGGAGGATAATTTGTGGATAATGGAAATTACTCCTGTTTCATTGCTTCGCTGTACCTGTATCAGTTCATGGGCTTTTCTGTTTCAGTTGCTTATTTTATTGTTGTCTTGTCAGTCTTATATCTTTTACTGTGTTGTCTCAAATCTTTTAATGTTTCTGACCATTAAGTTTGAGATGTTAAGTTGCTTTGATGTGGTAAAAGAGCATTTGTGATGCATAAAATATCATGCTCCTTGTGTCTTTATGAACAGGATATGGAATTACGAGGAGGCTACCCTTCTTAATAGCTTTGACAACCATGGTTACCCTGATAAAGGAATTTCAAAGCTTTGCCTTGTGAATGAGCTAGATGAGAGTCTGCTCCTTGTTGCTTCAAGTAATGATTTGCTGCGACAGATATTTAATTTATATTTATCATTGATGCCTAAAATCTTAACAAACTTTCATTCATAAAAGGTGATGGGAACATACGGATTTGGAAAGACTATACTGTAAGAGGGCGACAAAGACTAGTTTCTGCATTCTCTTCCATTCAAGGTCACCGACCTGGTGTGCGTAGTGTGAACGCTGTTGTGGATTGGCAGCAGCAGTCTGGATATTTGGTAATACCATGTAATATTAGCCATTTCAGATATTAATATATGAATGCACAAGTACCTTCAGTTCCATTTGGTTAGATGTGATCTTTTGATAGGTAAATAGTTTATTAGAAGAAATAACATCCAAGGGGGGTCCATTGTACAATCATGTATAGAAGACCTGAGCAAGAAACTCAAAGAAACATCCCCTTCAAAGTCTGAACAAGATATATTTCTTAAAAAGGCCTATTGTTTGTAATTGCAATTTTTCCATTTGTTTGGGCGCAGCATACTCTTTTGTGTTACAATTGCTCTGTTTCCCATATATTTGGATGTAACATACTTATCATAGTTCATCGATGTATATTGATTCTTATTCTGCACTATCCTTGGCTCGCACATTTGTGCTATTATGCTCTGATACAACCTTTTCAATTTGTTACCAGTTTTCTTCTGGTGAAGTTTCGTCAATCATGGCTTGGGATCTTGATAAAGAACAGCTTGTTAATACAATTCCAACATCCTCAGATTGCAGCATCTCAGCATTGGTGAGTTTTCGGCATTTCTCGTAAGATTTTATGGAACTAATATATATGATCAATTACCTTTAGGATTCTAATGCTCTATGTGCACACTAATTTAAGTAATAGATAAAACATTAGGATAGATTGCCCAGCATCTGCTCATAGTGATGCAGCATGAGATACCAAAAAACCCTTGTTTCTTCAATTGCTATTTAGACTTTTTTGGTGGCGCAAATGTCTCCGGCAAGTTGTATGTGCCACTTGATATGCAACACCTGTACTGGATAAAGATAATCTTGCTGAATGTTTTCCAAATGTGTTTGGTTAAGTTTGTTAAGAAGTATACCGGAAACTTTTTTAAAAAGCTGTTATCTGAAGAAGTATTTTGATGGTGTTTCCAAACAAAGGTTCTTTTCTCACTCGCAAAGCACTCCAGACTTCAAAAAACTATAGACTATCCAACATGTTTTCTTTATGCACAAACTTTTTTTCCAGTATATATATTTTTTTGCAGAAACTTTTTCCCAAAGATATTTAGTGTTATGTGTTCAACAGAAATATTTTGGGCCCAAGGACAATACTTTGAAGCAGGATGTTATGATAACATCATTAACTATTATAGTTAATATAAACAGTATACCTATGTAGGAAGGTCTGTGTTGTATTGGAAGCTGGTATGTGGAAAAAAGAGTGGTCTAATCCATGGCAATACATTGGACCAGGGAATGACATTGACTTTTCTTCTAAGTTCATGCTTAATTTAGTTTGATGTTATCAGCTAAGTTTGATAGAGATGAGCATCTAGAGGTGATACTGCCTCTAAAAGGCATAGCATGAATACACGGCGATTCAGTTTTGGCCAGAGGTGTATGTCTCTTGAATTTTGAACTGTCTTATAATATGGTTAGATAAATAAACTTATAAGGCTAGAAATGAAGAACTCATCCAGCTTTATTTGTGTGAGAATGCATGGGAGAAAAATCTATTATTGATATTCTGTTTAATTATAATACAATGAACCCTATTTATACAATACATATCATACTCCTATTCTATGTGGGACTAGGACTAATTCATATTATGTACATAACTATCTAACACTCCCCCTCAAGCCGGTGCATACGAATCATATGTACCGAGCTTGTTACATATGTAACTAATACGAGGACCAGTAAGGGACTTGGTGAAAATATCTGCAAGCTGATCATTCGACTTCACAAACTTTGTAGCAATATCTCCTGAGAGTATCTTTTCTCTGACGAAGTGACAATCAATCTCAATGTGTTTAGTTCTCTCATGGAACACCGAATTTAATGCAATATGAAGGGTAGCTTGGTTATCACACACAAGTTCCATCTTGCTGACCTCACCAAATTTCAACTTATCAAGCAAATGTTTTATCCAAACTAGCTCACATGTTGCCACAACCATTGCTCGATATTCTACTTCTGCACTAGACCGAGCAACCACATTCTGTTTCTTGCTCTTCCAAGACACCAAATTACCTTCTACTAATACACAATATCCAGACGTAGAACGTCTATTAGAAGGTGATCCTGCCCAGTCAGCATCTGAATACCCAACAATTTGCTCATGGCCTCGATCTTTAAACAATAATACTTTGCCTGGAGCTGATTTTATATATTGAAGAATGTGGACAACTGCATCCCAATGACTATCACAGGGAGAATTCAGGAACTGACTTACCACACTCACTGTAAAGGAAATGTCAGGTCTAGTCACTGTGAGGTAATTTAATTTGCCAATCAGCCGCTTATATCTTGCAAGATCGCTAAGTGGCTCCCACTGTCCTGGTAGAAGTTTAGAATTCAGATCCATAGGAGTGTCAACAGGTCTACAGCCTGTCATTCCTGTCTCCTCAAGAATGTTTAAGGCATACTTCCTTTGTGAGATAACAATACCCGAGCTAGACTAAGTGTCACGTCCCGACTTCGGGGAGAGCGACCGATGCTCAACCGAGATAACCCGGCCGAGCAAGCCTGTTGGATTTCCTTCTACCCAACTCACCCATAAATAAAGAGAATATAAACTTCATTATTTAATACCACGAGGGTTCATGAACAACACTAGTTCCATCACTATTAGTTACTTCATTTATAAGTCTCCAAAACAATACATTTTACAACCATAGTTTTACAGTGGAAGCATGAGATACAATTACGACATCTTTAGTTTAACTTTTCCACACTAATACACAACCCACACTATGTCTACGGAGCCTCTAATAGATATACAAGAGTACAATGATGGTGTCGGCAACAAGGTTCCGGCTATACCTCAAAACATAATACACACGGAACAAAAGATGCACAATCCCGGAATGAAGTGGGGCTCACCGAGTCAGTTGGGAAAAAGTGTACCGCTATCACCGATCAATGCCTCCCGCTGTGGAACCACCTGCATCCATTAAAGATGCAGCGTCCCCGGCAATAGGGACGTTAGTACATGTCGAATAGTACTAGTATGAAAACCAAAACACCTATTCAAGGACTTGGAAATACAACATGAATATGATGAATCAGGGTAACAATCATAGGGCTTATGTAGCCATAAAAGTCAACAAATTTATTAAGAACTTCCAATAACACCTCTAAATTTCAAGTCGGGAATTCTCTACAACTACCTTTACACAGAGCGGCCTTGCCGCCTCACCCCAATGTATGCGGGTGGAGGTGCAATCACAATACCAGAAACTCTACACAAAGCGGTCCCGCCGCCTCACCCTAATATATGCGGGTGGAGGTGTATTCACAATACCACAACTATACACAAAGCGGCCACGTCGCCTCACCCCAACGTATGCGGGTGGAGGTGTAATCACAATACCACAGCTCTACACAAAGCGGCCTTGCCGCCTCACCCCAACGTATGCGGGTGGAGGTGTAACCACAATGACCCAGCTCGAGTTCCCAAAATGATAATAATATGTACAAAAGAGTTCCCTTTTAATCAACTGTTTGGCAACTTTGGCCTTAGCAAGTGTAAATTCATAAAGTTTCATCATATGAGAAATAAGTGTTTAATCACATTGATTTCATACAAGATCTTCTTCCCAAAGGGGTATAACATGATTAAGTCAAAAATAGAGAATCATTAACACACGAGGGTTCTAACAAGTTATGTCAATCGGGCATCAATTCTACTAGTTTGAATACTCCACATCAATAGACATGTCCGAACTTTACACGATGGAGTTTTGTAATAACACGGGAATTCCAATACCAGAAAAAGAGTTTAGCCTTCATACCTCGCTTTGAGCCTCCCTTAATTCACTACACAGTTTCGAAAATCCTAGCAACTTCGATCTATTTAGAGACATAGCAAAATTGAACACAAATTAGGAAGATATTCATGGTATCAGCTCATTGGAGTATTTTATCAAACACTAGGTGTGAAAATTTGATTACAAAGTTCTTCCACAAGATTTCCTTCACTCTACAACTAATTCAACCCCAAGAGTTTACTCATACTAGTTAAATTTCCTCCCCACCATCCTCATAGCTACATGCATGCATAAATTACAACTCCCATACCCAAAAATCATACTCCCAAATTACCCATCTTATACCCAAACTCGAAATTGAAGACTAGGGTTTGAACCTTACCTCTTGGATGAAGACCTTGTGAGTTTAACTTGTGAATTCTCCAAGTCTTGAGCAAGGATTGATGAACAATTAGCCTAGGGTTTCCTCTCTCTCTAGAATGCTCACTTCACCCTTACATATCAGATTTTTGCTTCAAAAGAGTCCCTCTACTTCAATATATCGAAATAGGGTCGGGTCAAAAATTAGAAAAATTGAAGTCCTGGCGCAGATCTGCAGTCGCATATGCGACCGCATAATGCTTCTGCGGTCCGCAAAATGGACCGCACAATTGCCCTCCGGAACCGGGCGATTATGCCTCATTCCGTGAGCGGTCCGCAGACCAATTCTACGATCGCATAATGGATCGCAGAACCTCCTTCCGAAATTTCTCATGTTGATTCTGCGATGGGATCTGCGGCCCACAATACCATCCTGAGCATTGCCGGTAATAACAATATCAACATAAACCACTAGATAAATACTGAGATTTGAATTAGAATGCCGATAAAACACAGAGTGATCGGCTTCACTACGAGTCATGCCAAACTCCTGAATAACTATGTTGAACTTACCAAATCAGGCTCGAGGAGACTGCTTTAGACCATAGAGGGACCGACGCAACCGACATACAATGCCACTAGACTCCCCCTGAGCTTCTCCATGTAAACCTCATCCTTAAGGTCATCGTGAAGAAAGACATTCTTAATGTCCAACTGATAGAGAGGCCAATGGCGAACAACAACCATGGATAGAAAAAGGCGGACTGATGCTATTTTAGCCATAGGAGAGAAAGTATCACTGTAATCGAGCCCAAATATCTGAGTATACCCTTTCGCAACAAGACGAGTCTTAAGTCGATCAACTTGGCCATCTAGACCAACTTTGATTGCATACACCCAACGACGACCAACAGTAGATTTACTCGAAGGAAGAGGAACAAGCTCCCAAGTACCACTCGTATGTAAAGCAGACATTTCGTCAATTATAGCCTGTCGCCACCCCGGATGAGACAATGCTTCACCTGTAGACTTAAGGATAGAAATAGAGGACAAAGATGATACAAATGCATAATGGAGTGATGACAAACGATGGTAACTTAAACCGACATAATGGGGATTAAGATTAAGTGTGGACTGTATACCTTTCCTGAGTGCAATCGGTTGACTAAAAGGAGACACGTCCGCAGTATTAGCAGGGTCAGGTGCAGGACGTGAATCAACTGGGCCTGATGCTGGGCGCGAACGACGATGGTAAGTCAGGAGTAGTGGAGTTGTAGGCGGTGGAACTGGATTAGGCGGTGGAGCTGGAGCTGTAGGTGAAGATGAATGGGAGATAGTGACTGAATCTCCAAAAGATGGAACTGGCAGCACCTCAGAAATATTTAAGTGATTACCTGGACATGTGAAGTATGATTGGGTTTCAAAGAAGGTAACATCAGCAAACATAAGGTACCGCCTGAGGTCAGGAGAATAGCATCGATATCCCTTTTGCGTTCTCGAGTAACCCAAAAATACGCACTTAAGAGCACGAGGAGCTAACTTATCTTTTCCTGGAGTAAGGTTATGAACAAAACACGTGTTCCCAAAGACATGGGGTGGAAGAGAACAAAGGTAAGTGGGGAAATAAGACAGAGAATGGAACTTGATTCTGGATAGCTAAAGATGGCAGGCATACGATTAATAAGATAGCAAGGTGTAAGAACTGCATCCCAAAAAACGCAACGGAACATGAGATTGTATGAGTAGGGTACGAGGAGTTTCAATAAGATGCCTATTCTTTCTTTCAGCTACCCCATTTTGTTGGGATGTGTACGGACAAGATGTTTGATGAATAATCCCATGAGAGTTCATAAACTGCTGAAATGGGGAAGACAAATACTCTAGGGCATTATCACTACGATGAAACTGACAAAGTAGCGGAATCCCAAGGTAGAACTGACCCGACTAGGACCCCAAACACCTGAATGGACTAAAGTAAAAGGTGATTCTGCTCGATTATTAAGACGCCGAGGGAAATGGGAGCGGGTATGCTTACCGAGCTGACATGACTCACACTCTAGAGTGGACAAGTGAGATAAACCAGGTATCATTTTCTGAAGTTTTGACAAACTGGGATGTCCCAATCGTTTATGTAATAAATCCGGTGAATCAGTGACAGGACAAGTTGTTGAAGGAAGACAAGATGTGAGTCCATGTGATTTTGCAAGGATAAGGTAATAAAGTCCATCTAATTCATGCCCGGTATTGATGATCCGTCCTGTACTGCATTCCTATATAAAAACAAGGTCATCAAGAAATAAAACAGAGCATTTAAGTGATTTGGCTAAGCGACTAACGGCTATGAGATTAAAAGGACTACCGGGAACATAAAGAACTGAATCTAAAGGTAAGGAAGGAAGGGGGCTTGCTTGACTTATTCCAGTTGCCATGGTTTGAGACCCGTTGGTCATTGTGACTGTTGGGAGAGATTGAGAACATGAAATAGTAGTGAAAAGAGATTTGTTACCAGAAATATGATCAGATACATCCGAATCAATGACCCAAGACTCAGAGGTTGAAGATTGGGAGATACAAGTCACGCTACTATCTATTTGAACAACGGAAGCTATCCCTGAAGATGTCTGTTTACATGCTTTGTACTGAAGGAACTCAATATAATCCGGTAAAGAAACCATCTTGATTGGATTCAATGTATTGGATCTAACGGATTGTGAGTCAAAGGCTTCTAATACGAATGCCATTATAATGTTTACGCCGGAAAAAAAAACAGAGATTTTTTCTGAAAATTACTGTTCACACCGGAAAAATATGAAAGTGGTCGGATTTGATTTAAATTGGATGGGTAGGCTAGGAATTGCAAGAGGAACAATCTGTCCTGAAGAGTCGTCGCCAAAAAGCGCGTGACGTCGGAACTTCGCCGGAATTTGTTTTCTGGCGGCGCGTGGAGGGTCTTCAGATAGAGATTTTTTTATGGGTTGGTCGCCGGAGGCCGATCTACTTCGTGTTGGTTTTTGCACAACACTGACGAAAAGTGGCTGCCGGAAAAAGACTTCCGGTTGACTGATTTTTTCTTCCCGGAGTAATTGCACTGATACCATGTGAGAATGCACGGGAGAAAAATCTATTATTGATATTTTGTTTAATTGTATTATATAATACAATGAACCATATTTATACAATACATATCATACTCCTATTTTATGTGGGACTAGGACTAATTCATATTATGTACATAACTATCTAACAATTTGTAATACTTAGACTTGAATGAAAGGGAGGTTAGGATGCTCCTGATTTAGGTAAATAGGCATGGCTAGTCTCCTGAAAGGAGGTGGCTGTGGCACTATATACACGCATAACTTTTTCTTCTATTCTAGCCTTTTCCTTTTTTCCGCTTTTTCAGTTATCCACGGGTTCTATTCCGCAGCGCTTGGGAGTGTTTTGCACTTTTGGACGAGAGACGGCATATGTTGCTTAGAATTTGAATAGTGTATAGATTCTAATCTGATGGATGCTTACATTTTGTATCTCTCTGATGTTGTGAAGTCTGCTTCTCAAGTTCACACGGGACACTTTGCTGCTGGCTTTATGGATGGATGTGTCAAACTATTTGATATTCGAATGCCTGAACTGTAAGTATGAAGCTTACTAAATGGTGTGATTTTCTTTTCTGCTTTCTTGCTACACAGGTTCTATCGGATAATTGATGCGATGTCATGGAGATTGTATTATCCAAATTTTAGCTTTGTTTTGTCTCATTTGGAGAGAGTGGGTAGTGTAGGAGAACCATGTCTTTTGGAGTGTGATTTTTGGGTTTTTTTAGAAGATATCCACCTTCTGATTAATTTTATTAGGCGGTGTGTCCTAAGTCCAAATTCAGTACTCCAAGATGGGTAACCATTCTAGTTTCATTTTGTATGTTAGCAGGCGGATTTACATGCATGTATTTAGGAGTGGCAAACGGGCAGGTCGAGTTGGATATGGTTTGGGTCGAAAACGGGTAATGAAAAAACGGATAAATTATCCGACCCGATCCATATTTAATACGGATAAAAAACGGGTTAACCGACGGATAATATAGGTAACCATATTATCCATGACTTCTTGAATATGAACACTTTTAGGAGAATTTTTAGTAACCCTCAATTTGAGGCTTTTACAGTTCTTCAATTTGAGGCTTTACAAATGTAAAAGTTAAACCCATTAGTTATCCATTGGTTATTCATTTTCTAAATGGATAATATGGTTCTTATCCATATTTGACCCGTTTTTAAAATGTTCATTATCCAACCCATTTTTTAGTGGATAATATGGGTGGTTAACTGTGTTCTTTTAACCATTTTGCCACCCTTGCGTGAAACACCAGTCTCAGTTTCCATTTAATGCTAAAATTATATTTGTTTAGGCTTGTTTGTGCATCACGGCCTCACACCCAAAGAGTGGAAAGAGTTGTGGGGATCGGCTTTCAACCCGGACTTGAACCAGCAAAGGTGATCACTGTTATCTTCGTCACATTTACTCTTTCAACTTCTTTTCTCTTTGTTTTTGGCATACCATTAATCACTCTTAATAAAAGATAAATATTTTATCCTTGTGATAGTTTTTTCTTTTTTCTTAGATCGTCAGTGCCTCTCAAGCTGGTGATATTCAGTTCCTTGATATGAGAAATCTTAAGGAAGCATACTTAACAATTGATGCTCATAGGGGATCGCTAACAGCTCTAGCTGTTCATCGTCATGCACCCCTTATAGCAAGTGGTTCGGCTAAGCAGCTAATAAAAGTCTTCAACCTGGAAGGTGAGCAATTAGGCACCATAAGATATTTGTCCACCTTCATGGCTCAGAAGATAGGTTCTGTAAGATGTCTTACCTTCCACCCCTATCAAGTGCTGCTTGCTGCTGGAGCAGCAGATGCTTGTGTTTCAATCTATGCTGATGAAATCGCCCCGACAAGATAATTCAATGATAACATTCAAGATTGAGAAACAAAGTGCTTACAGACTTAAGTTGAGGTGGTCAGCTGCAAAAAAAAGGGACGGTTAACATCTGTGAAACACTGATCAGCTCATTGAGGTCTTGTGCTACTTATTCATTGAGCCTCTGCAGCAACGAGTGGTGCCATGTTTGGAAAAGTTCAACATATTGGAGGAGGCTTTAGCAAATAATTTGATAAATAGGTAAAGAAAGGTGTAAATATCCGTTATTCATTTTTTCTATTTTGTAATTTTCTCCCTTTTTTTTTCTCTCGGTGTGCTTCTTTAGTTCAATCCCCTCTCTACTTTTTTTTTTCCTCATCTTATCCCTTGGTTCAATTTGTACAGATGAACTACTCTTTATTTATATAATGTTGGCAAGCAGTATTCCTTGACTTCCATGGTTTCAGTTACAATCTTTAAACGAAGCTGACTTGCTAATTAATTGTATTAATGGAGCAAATTTTGTTGGAAATTGGATAATAATGGATAACATTAAAGCAAAGATTGCAGGACAAAAATATCACTTTGGTCAAACAGATTGTCTACTGATTGCACTTAACTTTGATGAGGGAGCTGACGATGAGAATTCCTAATCCTTAGAAAATAATAGGCATTTGACGATGAGAATTCCTAATCCTTAGAAAATAATATGCATACTCTCATAGTAATCTTATCCAAAAGCAAATCAAATGTTTGGCAGTGGAAAATCATCTTTGGAAGCATACATAATTGAGATACTGAAAATAGATGCTAGAAAGATACAAAATGAAATTGAGAAGTCAAACTTGCCCTTCAGCTATCACACACCTTGAAGTACAACTTACTAAGAAGATTCCCAAGTTAATGACAATATTTCCTTATATTTTCCTAAGAATAGTTGAAATCTGTTCCTCGAATCAGCTGGTTTTTGTTGCTCAGGTACAAAAATACGACAGTTTTCACACTATTAGAATAAACTACCACTGTGACTTAGGTCAGTTTGGAAAGCCAAGTGTAATTACCAAGCTTGTTAATTACACAAAATTGGTAATTATATAGTAATCACAATGACTTGTTTGTTTGCCAAACGTAATTATATTATAATTCTCACTATCATATTTGGTTGGACAAGTGTAATTACATAATTAAATAAATATTTTTTTCAAATTAACCAATCGAAATATATTAAATAATATATTAAATAATTATAAATTGATAAATAATATCTTTAAAGTAGTAAGTAGCTTCCAAATAAATAAATCATTACTTAGATGAATTAATCAAAATTGCAATAACAATTTAATGTCTTTACTAACTCATTAATGTGTGATAAATACATGTTTATATAATAAATGTTGGATATTATTTATAATCAGGTATTTCAACTATATTTAAGAAAAATTAAATAATTATAAATTGGTAACTTATATCAGAAAAAATTATCGGTATCTTGACTATCTTTCAAATAAATAATATTTTAACTTAAAATAATTAATAAAATTATAAATTAAAAATTTTACCAACTCATATGAGTAAAATGAAATTTATGATTTGTTGTACTTTTTAAATAACAAAAAGATAAATAGGAGTTTAAAAGGTATTTTTTTCTTGATAATTATTTTATAGTAAAGAATAGAAAATGAAGCTAGTGAAACACGAAATTGTATTTAATAACAAAGAAAAATGAAGAAAATAGAAAAAGAAGAAGCAAAATGTGAGAAGTTGCAAAATTATATGGAAGCATATCATAAGCAACATGTTGGAAGGGTAAAAATGAGAATAAGAGATACAAAAGAAATTTTGGAAAAAGAATAGTACTTACTATATTTGAAAATGAAAAAGAAAAATAAAAGAAATTAGAAAATTTACAATACCTTGTAATTGCACAGTGTAGTTACCACCAATTTTTACCTCCTCCTTGAGAATTGGAAAGTGCAATTATACCCTCTAAATTACTCCAAATTCCATGCTGACCAAATAATTACTTGGCCAGACAAACATGTCAAACTGTGTAATTACATCCATTTACACCCAAATTCAATTCTTATGTTACTTTCCAAACATGCTCTTATTATATTTGTTAAGTTAATCTGAACAAAAATTTATTTAGCTATGTAATTAAACTTGTTCAACCAAACATAATGGTGAAAATTATACTGTAATTACGCTTTGGTAAACAAAAAAGTCATTATAATTATTATACTATGTAATTACAGGGTGTGTAATTACTACCCTAGTAATTACACGGGTAGGTAACACGACTTTCCAAACAAACCCTAAGAGTTCTAGTTATGACCAGCCGAAAACAGGCCCCCTAGATGATGCCTTATAACCGTCCCTTTTAGACTATTTTCGGCTGATAGGCCTACATACACTTGATGCCCCGGAATAGCCCTTCTTTCGTGTTCCCCCTTGTGAATTCAAGTAAAACCAACACAAGTTAATCCACAATGAAGGAAGGGGAAAACATAACTCCATGGAAAATGCAGAAACTAATATCAAACCTCATCACCCTAAAGGGGTTAAAATAACTGTGGCATAACATAAGCATCAAATATGTAAAATGCCAATGGCTAGAATCAAATCAATCTTATAAACTATTCCATCTGCAAACTTCAAAAAAACCGAAAAGAAGTGAGGGGCGGGGGAGGGAAGGTCCACTCATGTACATCATATTGGCAGCATGGTATAGAAGATGTGCCACAAATACTTGTCATTTTCGTCCGCCAACCATACTTTGGCTGCTAGTTCCTGATACACCAGAAGATGAGTTGTGTCTTTGATCCCCGTTACCAAAAACATTAAGATCTTCAAATAACCTATAAGATGGAATGAAGGGTTTTTGTCCAGCAGCAGAGGATGTCGTCTTGGGGCTAGACCGAATCTGTGCATCCCCATTGATAGCTACACCATTGCTTCCCATAGTAGGAATTGAGTTAACATTCTGTACAGGTCTAGGACCTTGCAAAGGCATGGATGTGTTTTGTGGAGTTGAGTACATGTAGGAAGGTCTAGTTGAATGATTCGGATTGCTAAAATATCCGGGAGTTGATGCCCAAGGTGGAGGCGGATAAGCAGAGTACTGTGGGAATTGAGTCTGAGCACGTGGCGGTAATTGTTGAGGCTGAGAATGAAGTTCTAGCTGAGTTCTAGGTTGTTGGTTCAGTTCAGGTTGTAAAGGAGATTGTGGAAGCTGTTGCGAGGTATGCTGAGATTGTAATGATGATTCTTGGGGATACTGTGGTTGAGGCCGAGGATGAGGTTGCGATTGAGGTTGATGCAGAGACTGGGCCTGAGGTTGGGCCTGGGCCTGGAACTGGGCTTGGGTTGGGGTTTGAAATTGGTGATGATATTGAGGTTGGGACTGAGGTTGGGCTGCGGATTGAAATTGAGGACGAAACTGAGGTTGTGACTGAGATTGAGGTTGGGGTTGGGGCTGAGCCTGAGCCCAAGGAGCTACATAACTGTTAAAGCTCTGATCTTGATATCCAAGATAAGCTTGAGATGCATATGGATTCCCTTGCGTGGTTGAGGCAACAGGCTCCTGATGCGTGCTATGATTGGCTGAAGCAGAATTTTGTGGGGTCTCGGGATATATACTTGATGACAAGGTCAGGCTCAAGAGATCAATTATATCTTGTTCTTTCGTGGGCATAGCAGTTGGAGGTGGATCTCGAAGAATCAATGCATTGCTTGTGACAGGATCCAGTGATTCTCCCGTAGAATTGCTATTATTGGCAGAGACCATACCTTCACTTGTTTGCGCTGCTGGACTTGTTTTTGAATGTCTGCATCAGCACAAGCGACAACTTCATTAGAGAGGACAGACCAAAGCTATAAATACATCATAAATCACAGAAAGTACTTTTGACTTCCAATAACATTTAAGGGAGACATAGTGCACTAAGCTCCCGCTATGTGCGGGGTCCAGGGAAGGACCGGACCACATTGGATCTTATGTATGCAGCCTTACCATGCATTTCTGCAAGAGGCTATTGCCGTGATTAAATCCAAATAAAAGTCACTAGCCTTTATATTGAGAACCACCCACCCCCTTTCCTTTCTTCAACCATCTGAACCTTTTGGAAAACCAAAACGACAATTAAGAAGTACAATAACGGTCACGACTATATAAAAAATTTCCTTCCTATGAAAGTATTAGCCTGAAAATCTTGATCTCCGTCATGCATCCACAGCTCTGCATAAGAGCAATGAATTGTTTTATATTGGAAGTAAATGCAGGTTTTGTAATTTCGATATTTACCTTCGAGCTAACTGGGCAAAGTCATCTTCTTCATCTTCCTCTTCATCAATTTGACCAGCTGTTGGTGCAAGAACTGGTGCAGAAGGTTTTGCATCTGCTGCTGGAGTAGGTGGTTTAACTTCAGCAGGTTTGAGGCTTGGATCATGCATTTCTCTAGCTGAGATGTTGTTGTTTGGGACTTCAGTTGGAAGTGGAGAACCAGAAGCTATTGCGTCATGTTTAGCCAGCACCATTTGGAGGTTATCATTTAATTCAAGACCCTGAGCCAGAAGTTCTTCATCCCTAATCACAAACCAGAGCAACTTTTAAGAGGTGATGAAAATATGCTGAAAAAGAAAGAAAAGAAATAGCAAATACCAGTCTAGTTAACACTTGCGTCAATATCTTTCCCATGAACACCATAAGAAACAAAAGATGGAGAATTACCCGGTGGTGGTCAACATTTGCATCAACTTCTTCTGGTTAGAGCGACACTGGTCGACAAGATCAACTATAACTTCATCTTGTACAGCCTATACAAAACAAAGATAGAAAAGGATTAAAGAAGTTCCATTAATGAGGTGAATGAAGGAAGAGTGAGAGAAGTTACTTACCAAGCGATCACCTGGAATCACGGCTTGTAGCATATCAGCCAACAGATCAGCAACTTCCTTCATAGAATTTATGCTGGACAAGCTGCAAGGTAAAACAGTTAGGATAAAGGATATGATAAAGTAAATCATAACAAACCAATTTATAGAGTGCAACAACATAGGATCAATAGGTCTGACAAGGCGTACGTCAACTTACCTTAAGTTTGCCATCTCTGCTGCCATGGCCTCATCAAGTCTTGTTGAGGAATTGCTTGGCATTCCATAACCAGGTTGAGGTTGTCTTGGTGCAGGATGAGTAACAGGTGGAGTAAAAATTGGAGCTGTATCAAATGAACGCTTGGGAAATTCAACGCCAGCACGCTGCAATGATCGTGACACAAAGATGGTTACTAGAAAAGGAACTTCTCCAATAAGCGTTTAAGTATGACATTCACTTGTTCGCCAAATTTTCCACCCCTCCCCATAGGAAAGAAAAACAAATGAAAGAACCAAAGGCAAAAACATCTCAACAATTCCATTAAAAATATCAAAACACAGAAATGAATTGCATAAATCC